AGTTTAATACATTTTTAGGAACAGGCTTAAGTGTGAGAAACAGCAGCATCAGACTCACCCTGCTAGCCTGCAGAAGGCCAAGCTGAAGGAGTTCTCTTGGAGTTCCAGCTCTATCCTGAGCAGGGCATTCTGGGAGAAGCAGCTACACACCCAGAGCTGACCTTGCATATTGGGTGAAAAGGAGTGGGTTTTTTCAACCACATCTGTACCTATGGGCAGCCCCACAGTCTCCTCATCTCCTCCCAACCTGTCCTCACCCTCGTTCGGACAGCTTAATAAATTTTCATTTACCTGCATTAGTCAAAGTTTATGCCAGGTGAATAGTAGAGAATAAGATACCATATAATTCTAGAAGAATAGAATGGCAGAGCTGGAACATTCATCTAGTTAAACCCTTTCATTTTAGAGATAGATAAATTGAGGTACAGACAGGTGAAGTTCTACTCAAAGTCATACAGCAAGTTAGGGGTACAAGTTGCCTAGCTCCTAGTCACTGCCTGGTTGGTGTCACTGAGATCTCCAGCCTTTTGGGGGTTCAGATTTGGCCTTCAGTCTTGCTTTTTTAGGCTTAAAATGAGCACCTGAGGCTACTGGACAGTGAGCCAGGGATCTAGCCTCCAGACTCAACCAGTTACCCCATCTCAAATAAGCAACCTTCTGGTTGGCTTCCAAATGCCAAACCTGTCATCCTCACATCTTCCAGTATGAGTTAAGGTCCCAGACTGGAACCCAGTTTGGTTGGAGAGGAGGCAGGGAAATGACCTGAAAGATGCCTGGCCAACAGCCCTGTGACCTGGAACTCCACAGCAGGCTCTGAGTCAACCCGATCTTGCTCATCTGAGCAGTAGGCAAAAGCCTTCGGCTGAAGGCAAGAAAAGAGATCAGCAGATTCTCTCAAAAGATAACTGGCTCCCAAAGTCAGCAATTGTGGTGAGCTCATTGAGCCACTAAACCAAGCAGTGAAAATCCCTAATCCGGGGAGGAAAAAGACAGCCTACTCTGCTCCTAGACTCACTCATTCTTGGGATTCTGGAGTTGTTTGCCCAAAGGTAGAGTGTACCATTCTTCCCCATGCCTAGAAAATTCTGTCTACATCAGAGTGGAGAATCAGCCTGAACCATCTTGTGCCCAGTAGTGAACCTTCCAGACCATTGTCCCTCTCCCTTGATGGTGAGAGCTCTAGGCAGCCCCCTGACCTGGGAGCCTACAAGGGTCATGCTTATAAACTTCCCAATAAAAGTTGCCTCCTATCATATGTTATGGCTCAATGCTAAACTGGAAGTCGAGGTGGAAAGTTCAGGGTAATAGGTTTACCCTGAAGGACTTTCAAAAAAAAACCTAAGCTTGGAGCCAATGTTAACAACTCTGGCTTGTTCTGCCTTGTCCCTTGAACCCCCAACCTTAACCCCACCTCAGCTCCAACTCGCTTAGGGTTCTAATAATGAGCTTGGGCCTGCAATCAATGCCACTTTACTCCTTTTTTCCCAAAAAGGCTCCCCTATCATTTCAGGAAGCCATGCTGGGCCTATACTTTCCACAAAATTGCCTGGTTGCCCCCTGTCCTGTCTGCTGCTTGGCCTGGCTTGAGGGATTCCCAAATTTCCCACAAGTTCTGCAAAAAGTATAGGCTCATTTCTCTCCTAATCTTTTGATTTTTTTCCCCCTAAACCAAACCCCCAAGGAATCCTGGTGGTGCAGTAATTAAGCACCAGGCTGCTAACCAATAGGTAAGTGGTTCAAACCCACCAGCCACTCCACGGGAGAAAGATATAAAGATTACAGCCTTGGAAACCCTGTGTGACAATTCTACTCCTACTCTGTCCTATAGGGTCACTATGAGTTGGAATTGACTTGACAGCAATGTTTTGTTTTTTGGTTTTAAACCAAACCCCAGTCACTTGTCTCTATCTCAGGAACCTTTAGCCTATCAGTCCTCCCAGGCTTAGGATCCAGGGAAAGTAGGGTTCCCCCCAAAAACAGGTGAAGAGAGACAACAAGATATACTGCTGGTGACACCACAGAACTCTACACATCACAGAGTCCACAAAGACTGCACATTGCCTGCTTTAGTATGGCCTGAATTCTACTCCTGTTCTGCCCCCTGTGGCTTTTTCCCAGGTCCAGAGGCCTCTCTGATGTGGAGTTAGCCTTCAAACATCAAAACTACCTTTCTCTGGAGCTCCCTCACAACAGTCCCAATCATCTGCAGAACCTTCAACCCATTAAGTCAATCAGCACAGCTTTAGGGCTGTGAAAATATGTGGGCTAGCCAAAGAGAGTTTGGTTTGTGGGGTGCCTACAAACATTAAATTCATAGATGTTTAGAGAGGGAAAACATGTCAGACAAGAATAGAAATGGACAATGCACCACATTAATAGAAATGGACAATGTACAAGCTCATGAGTGTGGGGTGTATGTTCCATGTCCCCAGCATGGCTAATAGACATATATTGGGCAATAAAGATGATAGCAAGCTTCTACTAGCTTCATCTATCCCTTTGAGGCACCAGAGCTGTGGCACAGGTTGCTTGGAAAATTTTAGTATGCCGCAAGAAAGTGTCTGCAGGCAGAAACACATTTGGAATTTCAGGATCTGAATAGTTGCTTGGGAAAGCCAAGGGACTCAAGAAAAGTACTTCTGAAGATGAGATTTTCTAGGAGCTTGGAAATGGGGCGAGGTGTTCCTGACTTTTCCAAAATAAAAACTGAGGTGTTTCTGAGAGCCTCTCGGGTCAAAAATAACTTTAGTGAATTCAAGATACACTACAGCAAAGAATAAAGCCAAAGTATTCTGAGACCCTGGGGACATACCAAATTCCTTTCTGTCCCTTCCTGACCTGTACTCACCAAAATTTAAACCAGTAACCCCAGCCCCCATGGATCTAGTCTATGTCAGAGTACACACTAACCACATCTTTGCATAGCCACCCCCACCAGCTGCACTGTGAGGTCTTGACCGGAAAGTCCCCACCAGCCCTCCCCCTGAGTCCCCTATGATCACCTACTTTGAAGTCTGTTCCCCAGCAGTGAACCTTTTCCTGGTAAAATAGTGGTTTTTCCAAGTTTTATTACATACTCCTCAGGTTCCAACTCTAGGCCTGCTCACACCATACACATGCCAAGGCCTAGTTTAAGCCCAGATCCCACAGCTTCCCATAAAGTTTCACCCATACTTTGCCTCTGATCTGATCCTGAAGGCCAACAGCTTTTCTTCAACCACAGGGCAATACTCAGCAGGTGTCCTCTGAGGTAACCTAGGCAACAGCCTGAGGCCCTGCCCTACCTGCTTTCCCAAGAGCCCCTGAACCACATCAAAGCAGGGAGAAGGTAGTCCCAGGGGTGAGTGTGGCAGCAATCTTCTCTGCCCCCCGCCAAAGTTGTTCCACGCAGTCTAGGGTCACACTCAGGCGCCAGTGAGGCCTGGGCAGTCCTGAGACTCTTCTCTCAGCAGCCACTAAGGCACAATAGAGCTTTCTTCACCTGCCTCCCTACCGGCCCCCCCCCACCCCCCGCAACCGCGTACACTCTACCCCTGTGCAAATGGGCCACACGGTCTAAAGCATCAAGAGTCCCAAAACCCTTTCTGCAAGTACAGCCCAGGGAAGGTGCAAACTAAAAAACTGAAAGCGGTGGGAGCGGCTCTCGAAGAGCCGAGAGAATCCGCAAGTGGACGTTCCAGAACTCAAGGTTTCTACGCTCACTTAATAATCCCCAGCTCCCGCTCCTCAGATGGCAGCAGAAGTACGTGTTGGAGTGGTTAGAGAAGGGAACACCTCAGCCTTAGGGCAACACTGCTAAAAGCCACGTATCCTGTGCCGCGAAATTGAGGCGAGTGGCTGCAGCTGTCCTGAGGAGCTACCAGAGGAAGCGAGCCCTGCGGAAGAGGGCATCCCAAGCCCCGGGCTCCATTCCAAGATCCCTCAACAGAACTCTTGGGGGTCTTCGCCGGTGACTTGCTGGGGTCCTGCGTGTGGATGGCTTGTTTGACTTCTCCAAGTCCACAGGCGGGCTAGATGCGAAGAGAGCTCGCCTGGGGTCCTGCAGCCGCAGACCTGGAGAGCGAGGGCTATCCTGCTCTGCCTGCCTTAGCGAACGAGACTAAATCAGCCTCAAGAGAAAACGAGACTGGTGGGGCCGGCATTCCAGTTTAAGGCCAAACGAGGCACCCCGCGGATAGCGGAGAGGCGCGGGGCGCCCCTGAGGGCTAGCTGAGGTCGGCGGCTGAGCGGAGTGAGCCAGGGCACAGCCTGCCCGCCGCCTCATGCCTCACTGGCAAGAGACCGCGGAGACTGCCGCCCTGGCTGCCCTGGGGTTCGGCTCAGAGGGCACGGAGATCCGCTCGCTCCCCTAGGGCAACAGAGGACTGCAGGGCCGGCTGGGCTGTAACAACCTCGGGCAAAGAGACGGGCGCGCACCCCCACTCACACACCCTTCCCTCCCTTTCTCTCCTGCAGAAACACACGCCTGCCATGTGTTTGACTCTTCTTCGCTCACAATCACCAGGATTCCTAAGTGTTTTTGACATTAAACTCCTCCGCTCCTCCACAGGAACCCGGGCTGTAGCGGAGAACGGTTGTACCTTATTTCTCTAGAAGCCCGCCCCACCTCCCAACTCTCCTCTC